TGGAAAATGTCAAAATCTGTACAAAGCTCTAAGTGACCTACTAGGCTGATTTCAGCTGCTTCGGTCTTGATCTCGTGAACCTGATTCCCGATGAAGAAAACTTCATTGGTGTTCTCGAGGTAGTTGGTCTCGCTGGCACGGCTGCTGTCAGATCGGTCCGACTTCGAAGGAGGATTGCGGCACTCCCTTTTCCAGTGTCCGATCATTCCACAGCGAGCACACCTGGTTCGTCTCTTGAGTGCTGAGATGCTTTCGTCGGTTTGCCGTCGACGGTAATCTCGAGATTGGCCTTGGTGGAAGTTCCCAGCAGCGGCTCGGCCATTGCCATATCCACGTGCCAGCTCTCGACTCTTCTTGTTCTTGATCGACTCGGTGTAGCTCTTCTTGCGCTGCTGCACAAAAGTTGCCAGGATCTCAGCGGCCTCGGCCTCACTAATTATCTCCTCGTCGTCGACAGGCTTCTGCAAGTCGATGATGTGCGCCTCGAGCTCCTGAATCTCGTCGGCTGGATCGTACTCATACTCAGAGACCTTGTCCTCGTGCTCGCTCTCGTCCACTGTGTAGAGCAACTGTTGGACCTTCTTCTTGTCCTTGTCGGCTCCAAGTTCAGCGGCTGAAAGTCGAGTCTCATTTTTCCTCAACCAGTTTTTGATTGAGGATGTTCGGATACATCCATGGGTGAAGTTCAAGAGGTTCTTGGTCTCCATGTCGGTGAGCAAGAGGGCGTTGATCAGCAAAAATCCCTCGTACTCCTCAGGCAACTGGATTGCATGTTGATGTACTTTTCGTAGGGCGGTGTCCCACCTCGAGAAAAACTCCCGCCAGTCTTCGCCTTTGAGACGTCGTAGGTGGTAAGTCACCCGGGACATTGCTGTCAACATATGTTCTTGTTGGTCATCTGTCATCTCCATATCTTTCAGGACGGTTCATGTCGTCCAAGAGCTTCTCGGCATTGGTCGGGTCCTGAAGCCATTGGTTGTCCTTGGCCCAGTGCTTGTAGACCTCGAACGGTGTGAGGCTGAGTGCCTTCAAAATCAAGGGCCCCCTCATCCTCGGTCTAGCTTTGGTTGTAGCTATCCAGAGTCTGGCCTTGATGTTGAAGTCCTCGAAAGGTGTCGTTCCGTCCCAAGACGGCGGTGGTCCTGAGGTACCTCGGCCCTCAGTTCCTTCTTCTTCTTCATCTTCTTCTCTCTCTCTGGTTCTCCTCTGCCCTGCCGGATTCAGACGTCCTTCGCGTTCCAGCTGTAAAAACCTCTGGAACCTAGCAAAGTGGTCAGATTCACTACCCTGGACAGTTGGAGGGCTGCGTCTTCCCGGTGAAGCCGCGGGCGAAGTAGCTGGTGGCTCATCCAAGTCCCCATCGGTCGGAACAGCCGGAGTGGCCATCTACCAGGGGGTCAAGTGTCAAGCCTCCAAAGGATTAAAACTCCCCAAAACCCAAAAGAACTAGGCCCGATCGAATCGGGCTCCGCTACCACTATAAAATTGGGGGAACCGCAACAGGCACAAACAAGCGAAGCTTTGATCCTTTTTCGGCAGACACGTGACCCCCATTTGGATCGTCCTTAGCTTCCAGGCTTGCCTTGAGTCATGTAGCGAGCGAGCAATGAGATTTCACAGAATTAAATGAAACTGGTTGGAGGCGAGTGTGCAGAGGTAACTTCTTGTGACCATTTGAGAACGGGGTCGAATTAATCATGTCATGCCCTTTTTGAATAATGGGCCATCCCATGCGGGTCAAGTCTGAGAGCCATGTGGATCCCAACTTGCACATAGACCTGGGCTTCTAATCACAAGATATCACAAGATGGTCATTAGGTCATCGGCAGATGTTTGTTCGGGCGAGGACATGCATATACTTGCGAGTATTGAAGATAATTGGATACAATTGGTGGATATGTATTGGAATTGCGTTTAGTCGATTTTGTTGCTCTTTTTTTGTGGTTTCTCATGATTTGCCATTTTAAGACTTCTCCATGTATCGTGGGTTAGGCACCCCGTTTTCCAACGTATTCTCAGACTGCAGTGTGACTGAGGCCTTTGCATCAGGCAAAGGCATTTGTTAAGAAAGCAGCCAGAACACGCAAAGCATGGCATTGCCACCATTCTAGCTATTCTAGAGGAGGAGATTTCGAGGCAGGGGCGCGCTGGATGGCTGTTGCTCTGTCCCAGGAAAAGGTGGAATTTCGGAGGGTGACTCCCAGTACAGGGGCCGGACACGTGCAGACTCCATCCAGGTGTGCAATCCGCGCGACGCTTCTTGGGAGAAGTAGCTCCACCCTTTGTGGAACAGTTGGCACCTGAGACTGTGAGTTGCCTTGTGACATACATGAAGGATGATTTGGGATTTGGAACTGGAACTTCAAGCAAAACGGAATGACGCTTTTGGACTTCCTTTTGATTTTGGGAGGGACAGGAGCATCTAGATGAACGATAGGATATGATAGGTGGCTTTCTCCGTTTCTCCTAGATTCTGCTAGCGTGACAACTCGGGTAAGGTTACCGTAAAGGATCCGGCCTACACTGGTTTGCTGCACGTGCGTAACCAAACATATCCAAGCACCACTGGCAACTTGCAATAGGGAACCCATTGCCAGAACCCTTGGAGGGTCAAAGCCCCGGAGAACAAGCATCATGAGCCCCAAGGCGAAATGGTCAACTTCAGCCACTCTGAGCTTTGCAAGAGCTGATCGCGGATTGAATCCCGATGGTTGTGTGACTCTTACCAAAAGCCTTGAAAGCATTCGAGCAGCCGATGTGCTTGCCTCTCTACTCCACGGAGATGTATAAGATACATTCTAGTCGCAGGGGTGGAGCGGTATGAAATACATGTTGCCAAGGCGTTCTTGCCTCTCTACTTTTAGCAGAAGTAGAACATGGATTGAATACATGTTTGCGCCAATTCATAGTTGATGTGACCCATTCCACCCACCTTGTACGGAAATATTGCACAGTCTGCATCAATGAGCACGCTCTTCACTCTTCACCTAGGGTTGCAAAACTCGTGAACTCGCACACTAGGTTTGTTATGGTTTGTTTGTATCACAACCTTTTCCCGCATACGTTTCTTGTTTGACAACGCCGTGCCTTCTTCATGTTCTTTCTGAGATGTACACTGAGTGAAAGGCTCTGCTCTTCTTCTGACACTTGATGACTGATTGGGTGTTGCAGCTGCTTGCAAGCCCAGAGCGTCACGCACGAAACAGCCTTCAAGCAGTTTCAAGCGGAAGCCTCGGGTTTAAGTCTTTGGGGCGGAAAGCGAGGGACCGGACAAATGCCAGCTTTAAATTTGTCTTTGCACAGAGCTCTGCATCTGTGCTGACCTCCACCGTTTGTCACCCAATTCGAAGTCGCGACGTTGCAGTCCGACCATGATCAGCTCAGATTCATCAGCAAGTAAAAATCCCGGGAATCTGTTCACAATTTTTCAAGGTTTGGCGATGACATGGAGCTGTCGTGGTTTGACTACCATGCACGATCATGCTGCACATGTGAACAGATACTTCCAGGAAGTTTGACCACAGCTTTTGAGAGCTGTCATTGAGAACCAAGAGATTGAAACGGGAATCGCTGTATCACAACTCGGTTGGGGCCTTGTGCGGAATTCAGAATATGCTGCAAAATGAAGCTTGTTCTTTGGAGGTTTTTGTCGTGCATTAATATGTTGATATCTTGCAGAGTGCTTCTGTTTGCCCTTTGACTGGCCTGACACTTCCCGGCATTTATCAGACCAGGAAAGAGATATAGACACAGGGCGCGAATACACTTATGCGTGCTGGACTTCAACTTGAAGGCTTTCAAACTTTTTCACGGCTTGGGAGCTCGCTTCCCTTTGACATTTTGACACCTATGAACCACGGTAATAATCACGGTAATCCTGTCGGCAGCTCGCACCTGGATCAAGTCCCTCTGAGGAAATGTCCACCTGGGCGTTACTAGAGTCTGCTTTGTCTCAGTGATGGTGTCTTTACGAGTGTGAAAACATGTCAAAATGTGACGTGAGTCTCAAGCAATCCCGCGCCTGGTGTTGGCACAGAACTGTGTTGGTCAAACCATGGCGAGAGAGAGTCTCAGGATCTGTTCGGAGATTGTTGCGCAACATAATGACACTGCCTTGTGATGGTTTGACCATGCACGACGCCACTGGTAGTCCGGGCTGCCGGCACGTAGAAGCCTCAGTGTCCAAATCAAGACGTGCAGTCTGTGTGGACGCTTGGGATGCAAGCGCCACGGCCCGATCAGAGTATTGATCTGGATGATCTTTCCAGAAGGAAGGCCGAAGTTTTAGAGAATTGTCTGTGCGGATTCTCACAATGCTTGATTGGAAAAGGATAACCGGTATTATATATATATATATAATTATATATATAATAGCTTTTGGACCACTTTTTCGAAAACTGAGGGAATATGCAGTTTGTTCCCTTGCTCATGTTGATGTCTTTTGGGTAGAGTTTGCTGACTCATTGGCCTGACACTTCCCGGCGTTTCAATTGGAGACAGCAGCGTGAACGCGCATGTGTGCAGTGGAATACAATCAAGTTTTTACAAAGGGTGAACCCAGAAAAAATGAAAGAAGTGAAAAAAAGATAGGGTGAACCGAGAAAAAATGAAAGAAGTGAAATAAGATAGAATATTCACATAAGGATATCGCCAGCACCAAAGTGGAATTTCATAGGATATCATGCTGAAACGCCAAAAGGCCAGAAATTAACGATGGTTTCTCCGAGCTTCTCCAAACTATAGCTTCTTACTTTCAGGAATCTCTTCGCTACCGGAATATGCCCCATTATAGATCCTGCCAAACAGGGGGAAGACAATTTTCCTTCCAGGAAACAAGCCCAGGGATGTTAAACAACCACCGTCAGAGCCATGAGCTATCTGAAGCCACTTGAGCCGGAAACAATGCCCTTGTTCGGCTGCATTTTTCTCAAGTTTTCCAGCGCTAGGGACTGGGTGCGAACTCTTTGTTTAACTCTTTAAACATTTGGCAGACTGGATTGATGGATGCACCGACGAAACCGGTCCAGCTTCAATACCAGACTCTTGGATGGTTAGGATGGCGATGAGTCAAGAACAGCGGTAGCAAATGCGGTAGAGAATTTGTAGTTTGTTTCTTTCGGGCAGGAGATTCGATAGTTTTTTGGCACAGGAAATCGGAAATCTTTGGAAATTTGTCAAATCTTGGATGGGTGGAGTTTCTGTTGGTAAATTGATTAGTTATCCCAAACCCTTGGAGGGATGGACAGCCAACCCCTGTAGCAGTGCAGTCTTCCCTCCATAGTCATATTAAGCCATCAATCATACAGTATTTCTTTCAAAACACCAAATTCCTACACAATATGCAGTGTGTGATGAACATTCAGTATTGCCTTCAAAAGATGCAATGGTCGATGAACATTGCAGATCATTGCAGCATTCCTTGAGAAAGATTGCTGTTAAAGGAAAATGCTGCTTACAGGTAGCAATCTGCCGTGAAGACAAGATACTCCCTTAAATAAGAAGAAATATTCTTACAAGAACGCTATAATGTGTGGGACATGCAATAAACCCTTTAATGGAGTTAAGCCTCATTCTCACTTTGCCTGCATGACAGTTGCCTTTAAAGGAGAGACTCACGTCTTCAAAAGACTTGCTTTGAAAACCAGATAACCATTGAAATAGAACGCTATATTCTTGCAAAAATACCATATGTCAACAGATGCAGTATACCCTTAATATTCCTTCATGAAGTTACGCCTCATTCATTTTGTCTGCATAACATGTGGTGTTAAAGGAAACACTTCTTTAAAGCAATGGTGCGTGTGTGTTTTGTTCAGTTGTTTCACTCATTTGGAAGGGCATACTGCATACGTGCAATCATGACCTGTCTCTTTCCAAAAATATTTATATACACACACTTCAACTTCATGGTAATGGTTCTTTGTATTATTGCATGCTGTTCAATCACACCGTTCACAGCCTCATCAAGGAAGCTTTGCACATACTTGCACCAACACGTTCTTTATGGAATACCATGAAAACAAGCACTCAAACAATTCCATTCTAAAACAATGCTGTCCTTTTTCCATAGATTCTGTACCTCTTTAAAAGAACTTCGCACAGCCGCCTCTTTGAAAATGATGTTAAAATCCTTTCAAATAAATGCTGCACTCCCTTATGTAAAGGGAATGTACAATATGATGCCACTTCATGCAAGGATTGATGTGGCTTTACGCAAGGAAAATCATAGTCGTAGAAAAAATGTTGCTTCACAAGGTATGTATTGGAGGGTTTTGCTTGGGAAACAACCTTCAAAGGCCATGCTGAAACTTGTTTGCTGATTCTATTTTCAGGTCTTGGCTTTGCTGCATTTCCTCCCATGAGTTCAAGTAACTTTCTGGGAGGGTGCCCAAACCATGAGAAAAACAGGCAAAAGTGCACACCTGGATGACGTCCATGAGATGTGGCTGAGTAGACATGGACAATAGTTCATGTCGCTTTTTGGTCGGAATATGAGTCAAAACTTCGAGAAAACCAAAAAAGCAACAACACAAAGACAGTTATTCCGTATCCATTGCAGCGTCTGTGTGCATGGTTGTGGTCTTACTGGCCCCTGATGCTGGCAGATTTTGATCCATGTCAACTGAGAACAGCGTGAATCACAAGCAGCATTTTCTCATGCCACACCGTTTCGATTTTTGTCACGGCATTTGTACCTGAGACAATGAGTGGGAGACAAGGTAGGAGACAAGTGGGAGATAAGTGGTAAAACGCATGAAGCCATGGTGGAACATGATTTTTATCTTGACAACAAGGAGACACAAAGGGAGTAAAGACCAGAGACAAGCACGAAACACGAATAAAATCATGACGAAACTAGAACAGGACACCACCACTAAGGCAGACATATGATTGGAGACAAGTGGCTTCGGAGACAAATGAAGTACGAGACAGAAGGTGAGAGACAAATGATGGAAGACACACACAAAGGCGAACAGGCGAAAGAGGCGGACACCACCATAAAGGCAGACCGATGATTGGAGACAAAATATAAAATTTGGAGACGGATAAATTGGGAGACACATGGCGAGAGACACATGATGAGAGACAAGTGAAAACACGCAAAAGACATCCAGAGAGCCGGACACTACTAGACAGCGTGGGAGACATGAAGGGAGACAAGTAAAGAGAGACACTCGGAGAGCTGGACACCACTCGGCACACAAGTTAGGAGAGACACCCAGAGAGCCAGGCACCACTAGCACACTGGGCGTTACATGAAGGGAAACAAGGAAAGAGAGACATCCGGCGAAAAATGAAGGGAGACAAGTATAGACATCTGGAGAGCCGGACACCGCAAGGCACACGAGTTCGGAGAGACACCCGCAGAGCCGGGCACCCCTAGCACACTGGGAGACGACTGAGGGGAGACAAGTGAAGAGAGACATCTGGAGAGCCGGACACCACTAAGCACACAAGTTCCCCGAGAGCCAGACTCCAGTAGGCAATAGTAGGCACACAAGATAGGAGAGACACCTGGAGACCCGGGCACCACTGGTACACTGGGAGGCACATGAAGGGAGACAATTGAAGAGAGACATCCGGAGAGCCGGATACTAGTATAGGCACACTTGGTGACAAATCAAGGGAAACAAGTTAAAGAGAGACATCAAGAGAGCCGGACACCACCACCAGCAAACAGGAGGACACGTCTTAAGAAAGAATGGAGGACCCCAACAATAAACTGTTTGGGGAATAAAGATAATAAAGGAAAACAAATAGAGAGAGAGAGAGAGCAAGAGAGCGAGAAAGAAATGCGGGAGTGCCGGACAACACTCACCACTCAGGGAGACATTTGCAGGTAGACAAGTAAAGAGAGACATCCGGAAAGCGGGCGACAAATGAACAGAACCAAGTTAGGAGAGACATGCGGAGAGCAGGACACCACCAGCCAGATTGAGAGACAAATGATGGGAGACAAGTGAAAACAGACATCCGGAGAGCCAGACACCACCAGCCAGACTGGGAGACAAATGACTTGAGACAATTGAAGGCAGACATCCGGAGAGCCGGACACAACCAGCCATAAGTGAAGATAGACATCCGAAGAGCCGGACACCACCAGCTGGGAGACAAGTGCTAGACAGACATATGGAGAGCCGGACAGACATCCGGAGAGCAGGACAGCACCAGCCAGACTGCACCATGGGAGACGGAGACAAATGAAACGACAAAACTGAAAACATCCGAAGAGCCGGGCACGACCAGCCAGACTGGAAGACAAATGAAGGGAGACAACTGAAGACAGACATGCAAAGAGCCGGACAGCACCAGCCAGACGGGGAGACAAATGAAGGGAGACAAGACAAGTGGAAAACAGACATGCAAAGAGCCAGACACCACCAGCAAGACTGGGAGACAAATGAATTGAGAGACAAGTCAAGACAGACATCCGGAGAGCCGGACACCACCAGCCAGACTGGGAGACAAATGACTTGAGACAATTGAAGACAGACATCCGGAGAGCCGGACACCACCAGCCATAAGTGAAGATAGACATCCGAAGAGCCGGACACCTCCTTCCTTCCTCCTTCGTCTTCTCCTCCTCCTCCTCCTTCTCCTCCTCCTCCTTGCTTGCTGCACTTGCTGCACTCGCTTCCATACTGGCAGCTCCGGATGCTGTTGAGCGTGCCTGGACCGGAACACCACATCGCGAGCTCAGCAGGCTGTGGAGTGCGCTTGGTCGCGAGAACAGGAGGGCGTCAAGTGGGCCTGGCCCAAACCTATGCAGAGAGAATGCCAGACAGTGGCAGACAGAATGCCCGAATAAATGCCAGAGAGAGAATTCCAGAAAGATTGCAAGATATATGTCAGATAGAATGCCAGAAAGATTGCTAGATAGAATGTCAGAACAAATATCAGATAGAATGCGAGAATAAGTGTCAAAAAGAGTGTCAGAATAGATGCCAGATAGAATGCCAGAAAGAATGTCAGAATAGATGCCAGAAAGATTGCCAGATAAAATGTCAGAACATATGTCATTTAGAATGCCAGATAGAATGTCAGTTGGTGGGGATCACTCCAAGAAAGTAATTCATATTTTGGTGTGGGCTCAATGTGGGTTGAGGTTTTTCACATGCTAATTCATGTGCGGTTTGTGATTAGAAAGTTTTGAGATGTTTTGAGGCTTTTAATACTAAGTCATATCAGTCATATGTAGAAAAGTTTCACTCCCGCAGTCCCCTTCTGTGTATTGTTTGACCACCAATGATCCGCCAGAGCTGAGGAAGAGTTTTCTGCATATACGGGAGCATGAGGGCCACATGGAAAGGTCCTTCAGCGCACCAGAGCTGCACAGCCCCACTGGGCGACATGGGCGTGATGCCGAGATGGTGCCTCAGTGCGGTCGCAGTTTCAGGGAGAAAGGGATTGAAAGGGGTGGAAGCATATGGATATGTGGCTGAAATGGTGGCAGGATGGAAAAATCATGGCTGGTTAGGTTGGGCAAGGCCGAGACACCACCAAGGCACCCCTGAGACACCACCAAGACACCGCCAAGACACTGCCCAGAAAAGCCGAGACAGTGAAGGACGGAGCAGCGACAAAACAGGGCCCAAAAACTCCCGAACGCGTCGTCTGAAACCGCAGGAAAAGAATTCGACATGGCACGCGAAAAGCACCAAAACATTGCGCAGCCAGACTCGACCTTGCAATTCACGTGCAATATTTTGCCATGCATCTGCCATCAAAATTCCAGCAGGCACTGACAGCAGAAAATGCAAACAAAAACGTGGCTCTCCGACGGGGAAACACCATGGCAGCGAAGGACTGAGCAGCGTCAAAACGGAACGTGCCGTCTGAAATTGCAGGAACAACCCACATAGCACGCGCAGAGAACCAAAACATTGCGCAACTGCAATATTTGCCGCTCATCTGCCGTCAAAATTGCAGCCGGCGTTGACAGCAGCCAATGCACACAAAAACATAGATTCCGGACGGGAAATCACAATGGCAGTGAAAGGCGGAGCAGCGACAAAACGGAGCCCAAAAACTCCTTATCGTGCCGTCTGAAACCGTAGAAAATTTCACCGGCAAGAGGCCCCAAACAGTGTGGGGGGTAGGAAGGGAATGCTTTAGATACAAGCAACTCTGCGTGTAGGATTTCATATCAGAACCTCATACCAGGACATCGAAGAGAATTTCACAAGATCGTCAAAAGAAGGACCTTATATAGATGATCTCAGAAGACCTTCATACTAAAACTTCCTATGAGCATCCCAGAAGCACTTTCAAACAAGCACCTCTAATGCAGAGTATTCTAGACCTTTATGCATGGACCTCTGCGGGAGGATTTGAACAGGATCTCAACAAGATCTTCTCACAAGGACCTGCACAAGTGATGCAGGGACACCCAGAGGATTTCACTTCAAGATCTTCTCGCAAGGGCCTGTACAAGATCATGCAGGACAGCTTTTCACCCGGATCTCCACAAGATCTTCTCATAAGGAGCTGTACAAGAGCATGCAAGGACCTCGCAGGGAGGACTTCACCAGGATCTCCACAAGATCTTCTCATAAGGAGCTGTGCAATATCATGCAAGGATGAGGACTTCACCAGGATCTCCACAAGATCTTCTCATAAGGATCTGTGTAAGAGCGCGCAAGGACTTCTTAGAGGATTTCAGCAGGATTTTCACAAAGTCTTTTCATAAGGACCTGTGCAAGATCATGCAAGGACCTCTTTGAGGATTTCAGCGGGATCTTCATAAGATCTGGGCATAAGGACCGGACAAGAGAGGATTTCATCCGGATCTCTGACAAGATCTTTTAAGGAGCTGTGCAAGAGCACGCAAGGACCTCGTAGAGAGGACTTCACCAGGATCTCCGCAAGATCTCTCATAAGGATCGGACATGGTCATAAGACCACGACCCACACTTTGTGCGAGCCTGTGCAGTCGAAATGGACATGGACATTTCAGAAGAGCCATTCTATGCGAGAACCCCCAAGGAAAATGCCGCGCCCCAAGACCATGAGAAGACCGCGACCCACACTTCCTGCGAGCCTGCGCAGTCGAAATGGGCATGGACATGTCACAAGAGGCACAAGAGGCATTTTACGCGAGAATTCTCAAGGAAAATGCCGCACCCCAGATGGATCCCGAGACCGCGACCCACACTTTGCGCGAGCCTATGCAGTCGAAACGCACATGGACATGTCACAAGAGCAATTTTATGCGAGCATTTTCAGGAAAATGCCGGAAGCCAGAGGAGCACCCTGATCAAGCAGCGGCCTTACTCCTACGGTAAGCACCCCTCAATGCGGACGCATTGTTTCAAATATCAACAAAAATATGTTTCCCCATGTTTTCTCCATGTTTGCCCGGGTCCCGGGTCGCCGTGTCTTTCGGCGTCCAGGTCATCGAGGCATTGCTGCAGCGGCTGGCAAAGTGGCCATCCAGGCCGTCCAGCCAGGCAGTCTCGGAGCTGCTGAACTCGGAAAGCTTCGGAAGCCGAGGACGGTTGTGGAACGGTTGTGGAACGGATGGAGAGGGGCACTGGATGGCAGGTGCCACGTGGTGCCCCCTCGTTTTAAGGTGTTTTAACAAAGGCGGTTTTATAATGTATCTGACATGCATCCAATTAATTCATATTACTTCCCAGTGCAGCTATGAATTGTTAAACCGCGGTTAAGCCAGTGAGCCAACTATTACTATGGGGCACTGCCTTCTGGGCAGGTGTTGGGAAAATGGAAAGGCATTTTTTGAACGCAAATTGAGGTGGTGGTTAAATCGTTACAAGTAGAACGGTAGGTGGGTGCCTTCGGAAATCGCCAGGTCGCATTTCATTCCGGAAACGGATTTCGGAATATAGTTTTGAAATCAAATGTCCGACTCACTTTTGGGCGTTGAGCTGCGGCTGTGGCGTGAAGCACATTTAGAAGCCAAAATGCCAAAAAAACACTGGGTTCGGAACACTTTTGGAAGTTGAGTTGTCCAAAAAGTGCACGCGGGTGTGGCGCGAAGCACATGCTCAAGTCAAAATGTGAAAAAATCATGTTCGGAACACTTTTGAAAGTTGAACTGCTCAAAAAGCGCATGCGGCCATGGCACGAAACAAAATGTTGAAGGCACACCGGGTCCGGAAAACTTTTGGAAGTTGAACTGCTCAAAAAGTGCACACGGCTGTGGCGCGAAGCACATTTTGAAGTCAAAATGCCCTAAGCATCAAATGTTCGCGCCATTTTTGGACGTTCACCGTCATTTTTCCTCGCGGACGCAATGGATTCTGCAACGGGATCTGCAAAAATGCATTTCGCGTGGCGGGCGCAGTACAAGAGACATCTCCATCAGATATGTTCCGAGGTCAGAGCCCTGATTTCCGAAGAGGGGTTGCATTTTGGAGCATCAGATCTTCATGTTTGCTCAGATGATTGATGGTGCAGCACTTTGTATTCCTTTCATATAGAAAGATAGATAGATGGATGGATAGATAGGTTAGATTAGATTAGATGAGGTTCGATTAGATTGGATAGATGGATAGACGGATAGATGGATGGATGGAATGATGGATCGATGGATAGATGGATAGATGGGTAGGTGGATAGGTAGATAGGTAGATAGGTAGATAGGTGGATAGGTAGATAGGTAGATAGGTAGGTAGGTAGGTAGGTAGATAGGTAGGTAGGTAGATAGGTAGACAGGTAGGTAGGTAGATAGGTAGATAGGTCAATAAATAAACAGATAGATAGGTAGGTAGATCGATCGATCGATAGAGAGATAGATGGATGGATGGATAGAAAGAAGAAAGGATGGGTAGCGAGAGAGAGAGAGAGAGAGACAGAGATATATATATATATATAGTCATCCTGAAGTAGATAGAATATTGGTCATTTTCAATCCTGATTTTCCAAAAAATAAACGAAACCGTTGGAATCGTGAAGAAAAACACAAGTTTTTCAATTTTCACGTCCTTGTTAAATTGGACACGGCCGGGAAATTTGAAAAAGCGACAAAATTTCAAAAAACACGAAAAAATAGATGGAATGAATATCAAAAAAGTAGATAGAATATTGTTTCAAACTTCTCCCAAACAGTGAAAGCAAAAAAACACAAATAGCTTCCACAGCAGCAGAATCCCATATTGTGCTTTGCTCTCTTTTACTTGATTTCCATTTCTGAAGCTGCCCAGGGGGCTCCAGAAATACAATTCCATATGCTATGTATCTATTCACACAAGGTATGAACCAGTCCTGTAACAAAATGTTGGCATTTTGCATGGAAAATTGGAAAATGCATTGGGGACAACATCACTCCTCCCCTTTGTGGCGAAAAACATGCGTTTCTTTATACAAAAAAAACGTAAGAAATCGATCAGTTTGGGAACCTGATCATTTTGAGTTTTCAGATAAGAAACCTTTTGAACCACACAAGAATTGTCCAGGACAGTCGCGTTTCCGTGTTTTAAGTTTCTCTTCCCTTATCCGTTGATGAAGAGTTTCTGGAAATATTCTACGCATATGTCCTGGCAACCTAACAATTTCAAAAAAAATGACCTGGTACTGCAAGTATTGCGGGGATGCTTGGCAAATAGCTGGCAGTAGCACACAGGCAAGCAGGATCTGTGGGTGTGTTAGTATCTTCAAATACCTACATACATGTGTATATATATATGTATATATATATATATATGCATGCATTTGTTTGTTTTTACACAGAACTTTTTTAAGTGATCCTGCAGATTTTGAAGCACGTGGGCCACTCTGAACTAAAATATTACATCTACCTTTCAAAACCATATTCCAACTACCTGTTTTCGACATATTCCGATGGTGTTTAAATTTGTCTAAATATTCCAGCTACCTTCAATTCTTGATTGGGCCAGCATCCAACATAAATCCCCGCACCCTCCAATTTTATATTTATGTTCTATCTACTTTAGGATAACTATATATTATTATTATATAGCTAGTGCTGGACAGACAGACAGACAGACAGACCGATAGATAGATAAAGGGAGATAGAGATAGATAGAGAGGGAGAAAAAGATAGAGAGAGAGAGAGAGGGAGATAGAGAGAAAGAGAGAGAGAGAGAGATAGAAGGCAGGCAGATAGATCAAGCCAGAGGGAGATGGAGAGAGAGATCGCAAGAGAGAGAGAGAGAGAGAGAAAGAGAGAGAGAGAGAGACACACACACAGAGAGAAGGAGATAGAGAGAGAAATAGAGAGAGAGAGAGAGGGAGAGAGAGAGAGAGAGAGACTCAGAGCCTCAGCTGCCTTTCGGTCCATCAGTGGGCTCGCTCTGCCATCCTTGCATCACAACACCGGACCTCTCCTATAGGTTCCGTATCTTGGAAATTTCCGCCACCGCCTTGTGCGGTACTACTAGTATGCTGGAAGACTCAATGCCACGGAAAATTTGTAAGGTCGAATGTCGATGATACATGTATGGAAAGATAAGATCTAAAATATGGGGCGCACGAAGCTGGAAAAAATCATTGTGAATTATGATGGTAGCTACTTGCAAAATTGACTTAAAATCCGAAACCATTGCTGGTGGTAAGGAGGGCGGGGAGGACTATCCCAGCAGGTATGGTTTATGTCTGCATTTTTTTGACATTAGTACGCTCAAAACCTCGTGGTATCCATGGTTTATTTTCATTTTATCCATTAAATTTGCTATATACTGAGTTTCGCGGGAGCCACAAAAAATGGAAATAATATGAAACCAGTGACATGACAACAGAACTTATGTTCTCTGATGTGCTTCCCCTGCGGGCTAGTTTCGGTGAACAATCCAACGTATTTTCCCTTGATTTGCCACGAACATGCACCAGCAAAAACGGTGTTGCAAAATGTTTTTCCTTATTTGGAAATGTTGACTTTTGTGTGGCCAATTCCAGCCCACGGAAGGTTCATCCAGGAATTTGTTTGTCTAAAAATGGGGGGTACCCAAAAATTCCATAGTTTGCCATCATTTTCACCATCGGCTCGATTTTGCCAGGACATCCCGAATTTTGCTGCAGGCCATGTGCGCCTCGATTTGCCAGACCACGGTTATGATGGGAGTAGGGTCGGGAACTCTACACGCAACCACCATTGGCTGATAATGACCAACAGCAGTTGGATTCTTACGGGTGTTTCAAGAACCTCATTTTTTGCAAGCTGGCAAAGCCTTGCAGGCAAATGTGGCACTCCCGAGAGTACATGGTTGCAGTATGCCAAAGTGGAAGGATTATGAAATTATATTCGAGCAAATTTCAAGAAACAAATTTGCGCGTGGGTTTTGTATGGTTTTGTCGGTGAAAACTCACCCAACGCTTGCTTTCATTTTGATCAACTTGCGGATGTAAACGATGGAGATCAATATGGGTTGTCACGTATTGGCTGCAGACGCCAGGCACATTTTGAGAGGGTGGAATTCGGTTTGTTGACCCTATGATGTTGTAAATATGTTCACCATTCATCAGCTATTATTTGTGTAGTTTTGATTGATATGGATCAACACAACCAGCCAGAATTGTTTGCACAAGGTCTTGATAGATAAATCTGCAATAGGGGTAGTCCCATGAAAAGTCCGACCATCCTGAGGTTTTGAAACAACCCGAAGTGGCAAGATGTGTTGATTTCAAAATAAAGTTTCCCAATGGTTGGTCACCAGTTTCGCAATGAAAAATGACCATTTCTGGGGACCAATCCCTTGTCTTGAAGCACACCCAAATGGTTCGCAAATGTAGTGCTTGCAACCACCTACAGACACTGTGAACTTGGTGGGTGCAATCAGGTACTACATGTACATTAAGAGGTGCCGACGTACTGATGGTTATTGGCAATTGGATGCAATTGGTATGAAGCAAACACTGGAGTCACAGTTCCATAGTTTGCCCATTGAGACATGCATAAAACTGATTCGCAACCCACTTCCATGACCTTCCATGTCAGTTTCCCGCCAGCCCTTCAGCCGCCACCATGCCCCTTGCCCGTAAGGTCTATTTCATACATGGCAAGTGCCGCTTGGGTGCGTCTTGCACCATGTGCCATGAGATTCACAACAACATATCTCTTTCAAAGTCACAGCGGCGGAAGATGGAAGAGTTGCGGGATTGGGAGCTACTGATGGTCATCTACGAAAGCCATCAGACAGCAGTGGGATCAGCGGAACCAGCCTTGGCGGGGTTTCGAAACGTTTGGGTCAAGCCGACTATCCGAGTCAAATTTAAACATGCTTTGAACATGTCCTGCCTTTTTCTCCATGATCACAGAACATCCCATGTTGCCGGTCAAGCCTGACCCACAGCCATGTGGATCTGTTTGGGCCTCCTCCATTTGGAGGTGTTGTACCAAACAAAGCTTAGTAACCTGTATTTACACACATAGACCTCTATAAAACCAAAAGATGGTTTGGGGTGAGGACATAAACTTAACATTACTTAACTATTGAAGATGACGGGTGAATATATGTGTAATATCTGTGGGAAATTGTTTTTTCGTTGCTTTCTCCTGATTTGCCATCAGGCTTCTTAATTCCTAATCTATCGTAGGTTAGGCAACCCGTCATCGAACCTACTCTGAGACTGCAGTGCGACTAAGGCCTTTGTATCAGGCAAAAGCATTCGTTAAGAAAGCAACCAGAACATGCAAAGAACGGCATTGCCACCATTCTGGCTATTCTAGAGGAGGAGATTTCGAGGCAGGGGCAACGTTCGAACAAGAGTGGCTATTGTTCTACCCCTCAGAAAGGTGAATTTCTACGGGATGGTTTCCAAGGCATTTGCAAATTTCACAGGAGATTTCCAAGGAATTCCCGCATTTATTTCGGGTATTGCACCCCACCCGAATTTCGAGCCATGAGCTTCCGGAGGCTCCATCCAGGTGTAGAATCCGCGCAACGGTTCTTGGAAGAGGTAGCTCCACCCTTGGTGGAATCTCTGGCGCCTGGGACTGGTGTGTAAGTTCGCTTATGAGGAATGGAGTTGTTCAAAATGGGGAAATTCGGACAAATGAGAAAGTAAGAAATTCCTCCTAGCCTTTTTGGAGGGGCAGCAGCATCTAGTTTGATTTGGTAGGTGACTTTCTCACAGGTTCCGTTAGGGTGAAATGCAAGAGGAGACCCATTGTGAGAGTCAGTCATTTGCATCGAGCTCAAGAGAAAAGCAAGATAAAGCAAGCCTGTAATGTGCAATCTCTTATATACAATAAAAGTTCAGCTTCCAAGCTAGTACTACTGCACTGCTTGAGATACACAATTCCTGGATATTCGTGGCATGTATAGTCTGTATAGTCCAATTCTTGGTATTCTGGTTCGGCCACAAACCAGCGATACAATTGTTTTTTATGAATGTTGTGTTTGTTTGCTTCCAATCTTGTCAGGCTTGTCCTCATCCGAGCATCTACCACCATTCCCTGCTTCATGAGCCCCAAGGCAAAAAGGTCAACTTCAGCCATTATGAGCTTCGCGAGAGCCGCTCATGGATTGAATCCCAACCTTTGCAAGGCTCTTACCAAAAACCTTGAAAGCATTCGAATGGCCAGCGTGCTTTCCTTTCTACTCTGTGGAGATGTAGAGAATCAGTCCTAGACACGTGCGATCTTGTCTGTCTACTTCGTGGAGAAGTAGGAAATGGCTGAAGTATCCGGGAAGAAAGTTCCACTACAGAATGAAAGCACCTGTGAAAGCTATAAAGATCCCTCCTCCCTTAGTGAAATTATTTCAGGGGGGGGTTACCCACCAAAATATTTCTCAAAATAATTTCAAAATAATAAAGATCTATGAAGCTTAAAAAAACAGCCTGTTCTATAGTAAAACATGTGGCTGGGAATAGCGTTTTGTAGGAGCAGCTTTTTTTTGGAGTATATAAGCATTTGGAGCTATGCATTTTGTAGGGGTCCCTGGGTTCTTAACATTAAAAAACGTGTAGTTGCGCATGACATTTTATAGGACATAGAAGCTTTGATGAACCACTTTCCCGGGGATACCATTTTGCAGTATTAGGGTATTGTGATGCAATGCCAACATTGTCTGAACAGAATCTCCGTTCCAATTTTCTTTGGCAATAAACTGGTGTCAGGAAATGGAGTTTGTAGCAGCAGCCTGTCATCATTTGGTAGATAGGCATGAATTTCATTCATGAAACCAACATGAGTTTCCATTTTTTTGTGCCTCTATCTTGCAAGCCCAAGTAGCACTTTTTAGTGGATTGTTTGGCAATTGCTTTGAAAAGCCAAGTGGCATTTTGTAGCGTTTTCCAGGGGCGCATTGGATGGAACACTGATTTTTTATTTTTGTAGTGAAGTTATGAAACGCTAGCGATTTGATCCCCCTTAGTATTGCCATTACAGAAAGGGTCAACATGTGCTTGCCGGCTTGCGACAAAACCAGTTATTTTGATAGAATGTGTTTTCTTACTTTAAAGACATTTCTTTGATCTATGAACTTGTAGGAGGAAAAATGGGGGACAGATTTTTCTTTTAAATAAGTCATGTGAAATTCAAGTTGTACATGTTAGATCCTTTTTGTTGCTCCATAGCTCTGAATGGTAGAACTATCTCTGAGCTGTGCTTTTGCCTCACCTTAAAATTGTGATTACAATCAAGTGTGTCCAACTCTACTAGGTTCGTGCTCTTTTTAGTCCAATAGTCGAATTTCACCCAAGTTCACAGAATCCATGCAGTTCCTTTCAACGACACAGTGAGATTCAACATGTGATTGGCATTTTGTAGGGGGTAATTCTTGGAACCCTACTTGAAGCAGCCAGCGTTGCTTTGATCCTTCTAAAGCAGATCTCCTGGTTTCCCGGATGACCTTTGCCATGCGCATTGCATTTTGTAGTAACACACGCGTGCACAAGCGTTTTGTAGGACCTATTTCATTGCCTTCGGCAAGCCCGCCGGCCATAGAGAGGTGGCCCCAAGGGAGTTTGATGTGCATTCTAGGTGGAAGCCCGCAAGAGAGCAGAAGAGAAAAGAAGGAGAAGAAGAAGAATAAGAAGAATTAGAAAGGAAGACGAATAAGAAAGGAAGACGAAGACAAAGCCGTGAAACGGAAGCGGCTTGTGTAGCAAGGTTTGCTGTAACAACCTATTGACCGTATACCAAATTAGTACCGCCTCCAGCAAAGTAGCGCCAGGTACTATGTATGAGCCTCTGGCTTGACAGCAGACTGCTGCATGGAAGGAGACAGGGGAGAGAGATTGCCCCAAGGGAGGTTGACGTGCACGCTAGGTGGAAGCCTGGGAGAAGAAGAGACAAAGACAGGGCCGTAGATCAGAAGCAGCTTGAGTAGCAAGTGCGTGCTTGAACAACCAATGGAACGCATACCAAATGCGTACTGGTCGATCAGTACCGTGTGCATCCTGTGACGAGTACCTGTAGGAGACGGTAATGCTGCAGGCAATGTCAGTAGCTACCGGCACTACCAGTGTAGTACTTGGGGAAGAAGGGAGGAAGGAGTAGAGGAGTGGAGGAGTCGGAGTAGGAGTAGGAGTAAGAGTAGGAGTGGTGGTAGTGGTGGTAGTAGTAGTAGTAGTAGCACTAGTAGCACTAGTAGCACTAGTAGCACTAGTAGCACTAGTAGCACTAGTAGCACTAGTAGCACTAGTACACTAGTACTAGTAGTAGTACTAATACTAATACTAATACTAATACTAGTACTAGTACTAGTGCTGGTACTCGTACTCGTACTCGTTCTTGTACTAGTAGTACTTGGAGGGGGGGGCTGACCTTGATTCAGACGAAGCAAAAACGCGCAGCAAGAGAACAAAGGAACAAGTACAAGCCAAGAACAGAAACAAGAACAACACCTTCCAATCAGACACGCCGGCAGGCCGGCGGATTGGGTCCCCCCCCAGACGACCCCAAAAAAAGTTCGAAAAACATTGTTCATGTAGATAATTTAAAGCGAAAACATGTGGGACAAATTTGGTTCTGAATCAATCATCTAAATTTCAGCTGTACATTTTGGGTACAAGCTAAGTGTTTACAATTCTACCAGGTACTGGGTTTGTGCTCTTTTTGTCCCCCAAAAACCACACGGGGATAGCTAGTGAACCTCACTTTTTTTGGCTATCATAGATCTGTGTAACATTTTTGTAGCAGACTGTCTGCAGGGAGATCCCAAGATCATCCAAAACTCATGTTAGGCCTCATGTCCTCCCGTGCTTTCGACTTTGGTGTTTTTTGTAGTGGCTGAATTCTGCAAGTTGTAGTCATTTCCCGTGTAGACCAAGGTGTTTTTTTATAGCAATGAGGCTGGTTCTTGGTCCTTTATCTACAAAGTGCTCAGCACAATTTCACCCCTGGAAAGCACACCGGGATTGAAAAGGGAGAAGAAACTCCATCAACCAACGGCCAAGAGCTATAAAATGATGGCGTGCGTTTTTGGTTATGAATTTTGTATACTTTTGTACCCCAAAAGGAGCACTACAAAAAGCATTTCTGTCTTTGAAGGGCTCAAAAATGATGCTGCTACAAAAAGCATTTTTATTTGTTGCAAGAAGCCACGTGAAGCCATTGCATTTTGTAGGGGCCGTTTCTGGGTTGTGAACATGGTTTTGTAGTTCAAAGATGGGTGCGCCAAGAATCGTAGCTATAAAACGGTTGCACAGGTGCACCCCGGCAATGTGAACCCGGATGCTTGAGTCGTGTACTCGCGGCGTTCTTGCTTCTGGCGTGCTTCTGATTTTTTGCAGACTTCGACTGGAAATCTGTAAAATAGTAGTAAAAACAAAAACAAGGTGAACCACAAGGACAAAATGTAAAAACAAAGTGGCAAAAAAAGCGACCGCAGGAGAAAATGAAAGCACAAGTTTTGAAAAAAAAACCGGCCGCACCGAAGGTGCCGAGGCGTGGTAGTTTAGCAGTGGATGCGACCGTACAGATCTGTCAGACTGGAACAGCTTCAGCTGGGGGGGCGGGGGCGGCCGGGCGAGCCGGCAAAAGTCGGTTCCCCGCTTTGCTAATTTGCACATTTTGCCGATCGGCCCAACATGGCCAAGTGCACCGTTTCGATCCGACATGACCGCAACATGTGCTTCGGCCCAACTTGGACCCACTTGGATCCAACTTCGGCCCAGCTTGGCTCCGCATCGATTACGCCTGCAACGTTCCCCATGTTGTTTGTCCGTTGGGCCCAACTTGGGGCGAAGCTGTCGGCAAAGGGTCCCAAGCTGCGCCACTTTGGACGTGACTTGGACCTCCATATACGTGCCCACGATGCGCCATGTTGGACTTCGTTGGGCTCAACTCAGGCCCAAGTTGGAGCCAACTGGCCCGAGTTCGGCGCAAGTTAGGCCCCAACTTGGTTCGGCCCAACTCAAGGCCAATGACCGCCAAGTTTGACCTGGTTGGGCCAAGTACGCCCGCTCGTTTCCTCTCTATCCAATTCTCTGGGATCGGGGGTTGTCGTCGCGAAGCGATTCGAATAAAAACAAAAAATTGAAAACATAAGTGAAAAAGTAAATACTATCAAAAACCGAACAAAGGGAGAAGTCATTGGAAACAAACGCATACCAAAAAACGTGACAACAAACTGGGAAAGCAAATCATGATATGAAGAAAGCAAGTAAATTATGGATCCCTGCTTTGAAACTTCAACGCGATAAATAAATCAGCCCCAGCGACGTGCAACCCCCATGAATGCGAACAACCCCCACCCTGGCAAGGAATGCTGAACATTGTCATCAAGGGATGAACAGCAATGTCTTGCATTCCTCTTTTCTCCCTTTCCCTCTCCCTTTCCCCTTCCCATCCCTTTCCCTCCCTCTTTCCCTTTCCCATCCCTTTCCCTTTCCCCTTCCGTTTCCCTTTCCCTTTGACAACTTTCTTGAACTTCTCCAGAAACGCTGGGGTTCCAGTAATGAACAAGTCATCAACATGAAGACAACACATGCCAATTGGTTTTCTTCCCTTGGCATTAATTACTGCCATTCACAGGGTCCATGAAATGTTCCAAGAGTTCTTCAACAATCTCAGGTGTCAACTGTGGTGTCGTGGCAAGGTATGTGCGTTCTGAAGGTAAGAAGACTGAAACAGCCACTTCAGCTTCTTCTTCCAAACTTGTGGAAACATGTTCTTTATTCAAGTCATGATTCACCTCAAGTAACCACCAAACTCTTTTCCTTTTTTCAATAACAGGAGTCCATGTACAATCTTCAACCTTCTTCTCCTTAAACTCCCTCCTCTGTTTCCAAGTTTGGGTTTGTTGATAACAAGCTGAAAACAATCTTTCTTCAACCAAAAGAGACTTATGAATTTCCTCAGCAGTGTCGTAGGATTCATCACGTGTTTCCCCACCCTCTTGTGAGCTTACGCCATAGTAAGACACAGGTGCTGGCTTTGCCGCCTCAGAGTCAGCAAAGCTAACTTGTTTGGGCTCCTTCAAAGCACCTTCATGTCACACATAGGTTCTCCTGTCCGCTCTTGGTGGTTGAATGCCAAGCGAAATCAAAAATTTGTCTAAACGTTTCCACCATCTTCGAGGTGCATCCGCAAGTCCATAGACGGAACGAGTGCATAAACCAACCAAGTAAGGAGGCAAACCAATGTCAGTAGGCAACTGAACATGGATAACGCGGCGGTCTA